GTGACAACTTTCCAATACAGAGCATTGGTGTGACCCGAAGTTACAGGTTAATTTAAGCCCCAACTTAATGAAGATCCGTTACCATAACGCAAGCCTATTTTTCAAACTTTCGTCATCTGTGGGATTTGAACCCTAGACCTGCTACTTGGAGAGGATGACGACTTCACCACTTCACTAAGCCGCCACACCTCACTAATTCAAAAATTTTAACAAATGTATGAGATTTATCGAAATGAATTTGTAAATAAATGAATAGTATATAATAAGATCACATGCTTTGTGGCCTGCTTTATTATTGGTACCAATAAGCTAAAGTTTAGTACAATATTGTTATACAATATAGTCTAATTCTATTATTGTTTTATATATACCTCTAGAAGGCACTAAATCTCACTTAGGCCATTTTAGAAGTTATGCAAGAGTGGGTTACATCTCTAAATATATTTTGTATTAGGTGGGTAGCATGTAATCTTATTATATACTATTCGTTTATTTACAAATACATTTCAATAAATCTCATATATTCATTAAAATAAACATCATAGTATATAATAAGATCACATGTTTCTTTAAAGTAAATTTCTAATTGATTCTAGCTTGATCTATGATTTTTTTCAGTGATATTGTTCTGTTCCAACATTAATTTTATACCTCTCTGATAATAACGCTGATAAGTATATGAATTCGACCAATTACCTAGTACTAGGATTGAGTTCAGTTTGACACCTGTATTCTGAGCAAATAATGCTAACAATATGCGAATGTCTTTGGCTCTTCCTTCAGGAGCTGATTTTCTGATTATATCTTTTAGCCAGTTTGCAATTGTGTCCACTGCGGCTGGGTTATAAGCTCCTACACTTGATAGAAATACTGCTGCTTTTTGTTCGTCCGTAATTCGAAATTCTTTTGTTTTGTCTAAGTAATGTAGTAATGTCGTGGCTGGGCACAGGTTTTTATCCTCTTGGTATTTACCAATAAATACTTGTTTGGATCGTTTCTTGTTTATACCATGCCTTATTGCAATGTTTGACTTTTTAGGGTTTTGACATTGGAGTGTTATTCCATTCGTTGTGTTTTTGATTGTAGTTAAATCAAGTCTGGCCAAATCAGATGGTCATGATGCTGTTGCTAAGGCGCAGAGAAAAGCTGTCTTTTTTGCCATTACTACCAATAGTAAATCTTCATTGCTACCTAAGCTGACTATATGATCTAATGATGGTGCAGTGTTGTAAATTTCGTCTTCAGGTTCCTTCGGTGGATTCATTTTGAAAATCCCCAACATTAATTTTACAATGTCTTTATTTCTTCCTATTGGTAGCCTCTCTGACCATTCATGTGCTTCACTTATTAATGATCTGTATGCTGCAATCATATTATATAACTTTCCTTCCCTAGTTTTTTCTGTGAGAAATTGCATGATATCCATTACAGGGCAACAAATGGGATCTTTTCTATTTTTTAAACACCATAAGGTCCATATTTGTAAGTTCGATAAAACAGTAGTAGTGGAGTTTTGGTTCAGTGATTTATATGATACTTCAATAGCTTCTTCCAAAACTCCTTTTTTCTTAAGGCATTCCCTGAGATAAGCCATGCATACATTTTCTATGGAATATTGTAATATGGTAAATGTCCTGATATAGGTCCTGGTAGTATCAAGTTCTTGGGTGGTAGCACCCATGGTAGATCTATTATTAATTCGGTCATAGTTGGGAACCATACTGCTAATGTCCACAGGGGTGTCACAATACATATTGTTGCTCATTCTTTCTGTGTCTTGGCCAATATTCTTGGGATCAATGTTTATGGGGGATTGGCATAACATTTTATTGGTGCCAATTTCTGGGTGAATGCTATCGACTTTGGGTTTGAGAACCAAGATATGTAAGTTTGTATCTGTGCATTCAATCTGTTTGCAAACAAGTCTATGTCGAATGATCCCCACAGGTTGTTTAATTTGTTAAAAACTTCAGGGTTCAGCATCCAATCGTGTTTGTTATATTTCAGACGTGAGGCATAATCTGCTAGTGTGTTGTCCGTACCCAGTATGTGTTGTGCTATCAGATTGATGTTTTTCTGGAGACAATTCTCTCAGATTTGTTCTGCTATCAAACTGATTTCTGGGAAGATCATGCCCCCTTGATGATTGATGTACGCTATACAAGTTGTGTTGTCTGTCTTTATCATCACTGATTTGTTCGATAGATTCCTGAACGATATCAGTGCAAATTGAATCGCTTTCATTTCTAGAATATTGATATGTAATTTCTGTTCCGTGCTTGACCATAGCCCGTTTATCAATTTTCCTTCTCGACTAGCCCCCAACCAAGCTGTGATGCATTGGTATATATTACTGTTGACGGTATGTTTGACTTTAGTGACTATCTGTTCCAGTTTCTCAACTGACTTGTCCACCATTTCAGTTGTTTAACTGCGTTTTAAAGAGGCATTCCAGCCTTTTGCTTTTATTGTCCGGTTTTTCAGCCTTATCAGTTTCCTTGACTTCAACCGGGCCGGGAGTACTGCATTTGTTGTGGCCAATAGTTTTTCGATTAGAGGTGCTAATTTTCTAACCTTTACTGTCTTCATTTGTACTACTAATGAACATTCCCTTCTCAGTTGCTTTATCTTTTCTTTTGGAAGCGATAGAGTCATTTTTCTTGAGTTTAACCTGAAACCTAGGTAATCTATAGCTTGTGTGGGTTTGAGTTGACTCTTTTGTGTATTTATTATGAAGTCTAAACTGTTTAACATGTCCAAAATTTTGTTGAGATGTGCTAGTACTTGATCTTTCTCTTTCGCCATCAATATTAGGTCGTCCAAGTATGCCACTACTCGAATGCTCTGAGATCTCAGTGTCTTCAGAACTGGACATATTACTTTTGTGAAAATTCGCAGGCTGAACGTTAATCCAAAGGGTAGACATTTGAAGCAATACCTTTGTCCCAAGAAATCAAATACTAAATATTTTTTGGCAGAAGGATGTAATGGCACGTGAAAGAATGCATCTTTTATATCTATCGACACTATGTAGTCATTTTTTCTGACAAGGTGTTTTACTATAAGTATAGACTCCATTTTGAAATGTTTGTATTTTATGTATATATTTAGTGGTCTTAAGTTTAACATGGTGCGCTTCTTTCCATTTTTCTTGTCCAGTATAATTAGGTCTGATAAGAAGCATGATAAATTTTTTGGGAACTTTTTGATCACTTGCACGTTCCATAAGGCTTGTATCTCATTTTTTGTAATCTTTAGATCTGTTGAAAATTTCATAAAACGCTTCTGTTGGTGAATTCTTAATGGGGGTTTTGAGCTCCATTCTGGAGAATAACCATTTGATATGATTAAGATAGGCCATGAATTGCTGAATGTTTCTAACCATTTGTGTTTGAATTTCTTTAAATATCCAGGAATCTGAATGTTCATCAGGTTCGTGGGGTCCGGCGGTTGTCCGTTTGAAAATTTCCTTGTGTGGGCCCTGGTTTTCTAATCATTTTGTTATATGTATGGCGTCTTCCACCTTGAGGACAGTAAGTGGTGTTTTGGTTTCTGTTATTAGGAAACCCTTGTGATTATATGGGTGCCAGGAATCTACGTCGCTCCTTGTTGGCATCATTATATAGTTTAGACTTGGTGTTTTCTTCCTCCACCAATCCTTTAAGTTTTTCACCAAAAACTTCTTTTTTATCCTTAGTAGTGGTATATGATGGTGATATAGCTTTAAGTGCGATGTTTCTTCTGTAATCATTGGCATATGATAAAGCATCTCGTAGCAATTCTCTTGCATTATGGTTTGATTTTTGTAGTAGCTCATACCCTGCTCTTGCTTTTGTATCTTCATCATCTGGTTTTGAATTATAGAGTATTTTCTCAATGTTATCAATGGGCGCAAAATAGCAGAGATGCGATAAGAAATGTTGCAGATGATTTTGTCAAACTCCTTTTGTTGCTTTGACATAGCTCGTAAGAAATATTGCTCCATCTGGTTGGTAATCGACTTCGGCATTACGTGGTTCACTGCGTAGTATTTTCTGATGTTCAATCTTTGACAATGTACAGTCTGAATATATTTCTGTGGGTAAGTTTCTAAGTTCACCCGTGGAAAACCACAGCTTTGGTTTATCATAATCGTAGCTGTCCTCCAATTCTTGTTCAATAACCATGTCATTAATGTTTGTTTGTTCGTTTTGTTCGGTAGATATTAATTTGTCACAACAATTTTAATAAATGAGGGTATTTTATTGAGAGCGAACGGCACCAAAATAAAACGGCCTAAGTGAGATTTAGTGCCTTCTAGAGATATATATAAAACAATAATAGAATTAGACTATATTGTGTAACAATATTGTACTAAACTTTCGCTTAGAAAAATTGGCACCAATAATAAAGCAGACCACAAAGCATGTGATCTTATTATATACTATGACATTTATTTTATAATTCTCTTTGAATATATATATATTTTTTATTTTTTATTTTAAATAATATACGAAGTTTTTAAACTATTTTAAACTACTGTATTAGAGGTACAAAAAGTAAAAGTTGCTGGCTAAAAAAAAAAAAAGTAAAAAAGGTTTTGTAATCTGTAGCAAGCTAGACTTTATAAAATATATAATTTTACTTTGAAAAAATAGTATACTGTAGAAGTATAATAGAACCTGGAAATAAATTAGTTATTATTCACGAAATGGATATAACCAAATGGGGGGGAGTCAATAGAATCCAGGCAAATTGTTTTTAAGTAAATTTTTTCTAGACTTTAAATTAAAATATCTCAACTATTAAACAAAACTTGATAAAAATTTTTTTATTTTAATTATATTTAATTATAGAATTAAAATAAAAAAAATTTTATCAAGTTTGATTTAATAGTTGTTAAGATATTTTGATTTAAAGTTTTAAAAAAACTTATTAAAAACAATTTGCCTGGATTCTATTGACTCTCCCCCAAATATTAATTCTAAATTAGATGAAGAGTTAATTTATTATTCGAAAAATGCATTGACGATCCAATGAAATTTTTAGCGTATATCATCACGTGGTCGCGAAATTTTATTCAAATTTATTCTGTGGTAATACAAATGTTCGATCAACATTTACCACGGGTTTTTACCCATAAATCATGCTCTTTTAGCAGTTTTAATAACTTTATCGATAGAAAGCCATAAAACTAAAATACTAAAATAAGTAATTAATAATAATCTTCCCATTTCGTAATCTGCTCATATACAGTTCCATTATCTTCAAACCAACTCAACTGATCTACGCCTTTAACTATGCGTTTCGATGCTTTTTCGGGAGAATCACCAAGTGGCCATAACGTTTGACTCTCATTTTCCCATAAAAAAACACGACCATAACAGTCTAAAAAGATCATTCCATACTCTGTCTCCCCGATAATAATTATATGTTCAAAGCCGAAATTAGCAACACATCTTATATGATAAATTAGTTCTTTAGGATCACTATCAAGAACTTCATAATTAACCAAGGTTGCAATACGAGAATTATCTTTAAATGCATCAACTAATATGAGCGAATCGTTGCAACGCGACGTTCTTCCATTTTTTCCTTCACATAATTGCACTTGAGACATGGTTGTAGGATTTTCGGTAATTGATTTTCCTTTACTGGTCCGCGTGTACAAGGCGACACGTTTTCCTGGGGACAATCTTTTTCCAACCATCGGCTCCCAGGGAACTGATTCTGAGCAGTTTCCCAAAGGATGCCTGCATTTTTCCAATTGTTCCAGTGTTAGGACATCCTTCACGTTCTTTGCCCAACGTAATATCTGTATTTTCTCCGTCCTTGTATTTACTACCTCCATTCTCACTGTTGGATGGCAACGAATCGACGAACCCATCATGAATTTCACATCTTTGCCTTTCCGTTTCGATACTTGATTTGAGTATGTGAGGTTCACTGTTGTCGGATGCAATATTGGATCTGGCTGTACTATCGTTATACTCTGTGCTAAGTGTTCCTGACTCTCGTAAAGATATTTGATTTGCGTCATCTTCTTTGAGGGCCGATGCGCGTAATTCCAAAGGAGACACCAAGCATCGTAAACCGTAATAATTGGTATCGGTTGAAACTTGTCTAGGAATACTGTTTTTCCTGTTGGACCGCAAGGTGTCAATTCCCCCCTTCGTTCTATATAAAATATGATTTTTGAATTCGTTTAAGCTTTTTTTTTCTGCACTTTCTCTCCTAACCTGAAAGGAACCATGAAATCGGCAATCAGTTCCTTCTGCCATGGTTCATTAAGTTATATAACTAGCTGAACGAACTTAAGAAATAGAAATAAATATAGAATTGCTCACAGCCTCAAACTAGTAAACAGACTAAAGTCATTAGCGTTTAGAAGAAATCGGTTGCAATTTGTGCAAGAGTTATTTCCTTTTTAATCACGATATGTGTAAATCGATTAATAAATTTGGAAGTTTACAAGTTATTTTTGGATAAGTCTCGTTACATGAGCAAAAAACAATTGTAAAAAAATACTCTTTGTAGCGCAGAGCGGCGCGAATAGACTAGCAAGTTGAGAAGAGGTGCGCTGCTCACCACTCAAAAAAATTTTTCGCTAGTCGAACAGAAGTCTATTTTTTTTTGATTACTAAGCTGATCGGAATAATAAAATCAAAAAGATCTGACGTAAGTTAAGTATCCCTAACCTGTTTTGGTAAATTCATATGCTTAGCTTTAGCGTTAGTATCTGGGTTTACTAATTTCTCTCAACTTCCCATTGGTGACGCACCAATTAAAAAATTCTAATAGAATGAAAAACATAATATTTTTGTTTTGAATTCAAAAAAATATTTGTATTCTTTTACTTTTATAATGTTTATAATTTATAATTTTCAAAATTTTTACAAATCAGAATGATGACATTTCGTCAAAGCTCTAATATAAAAATACGCGCATAAGAAATATTGGTTTAAAAATATGACAATAAATCTCAAACAAATATGTTATCTAATAAACATGTACTATATAGTTTATAAAAAAAAAATTCTTTAAATTACGCTAAATCGTATCTTAAAAAAAATAATAGTAGTGTTCCTTATTATTAAAGGGGTTTCACTTTAAAAATTAAACTTTATAAGCTTTTACCGTTCTTGATAGGGTTCTTAAAGGAACCCCGAAGTTAATTCTCATGACGATGCTTAGTTATAATGCGAATGCTAAGTCACGACCCGTGATTAATTCACAACATTGATTTTAAAATAATACAGTACCGTGTCTACGCGAAAAACTTCCATAGGGCGTTATTCGAGACACGTAATTTGACGAGAGTTAATAATTAATTTAGCAAGTTATTAACGGCTAAATTAATATTAGCTCTCTTTGAATTACATGTCTTAAAATAATGCCCATGGGCGTTATTTCGCGCGAATTCGGTAAGAATATTTGGGTTGAAAACCTTTATTAAATAATTGAATATTAAATTCCGTTTTTTTTTTTTTTTTGAATTTTATGTTATGCGTTGAACTTATAATCTGGTTGGGTGGACTGCCAAATTTTTATGCATAACCTTATATTTCTATAGTAGTTTAGTTTTTAAGAACCCGGGGGTTTTTTTTCATCCCATCAAGAACAGTATCGACGATCCATCAGGAATGGCATTTTTGCTCTATATCCTGGGAAAATAAGATAATTTTGGATCCGTTCAACTCACCGACAATCGCTTCATAGACACCGACAATTATTCACCGACAAGTTCATTTTACCGACAGTCTATTTCATCGAAGCTCATTTTACAGACAAAGTAATTCTGGTCAATATAATTAGGGTTAGGTAGAATTAAAGTTAGTGTAATTTATAAAAAAAAACTTGTCGGTGAAATGAGTTTCGAAAGTGATTGTCGGTGAAATAATGCGGATCCTATTTTCATAGCAAAAATCCCATATATCGGAATGCCTAATAGCTCTATAGGTAAATCGATAAAGCTTGCCTTATAGCTTTATCGATTTACCTATTTGCATTCCGATATATATTGAACACCTAGTCTCCTATTTGCGCCAAATATCTTTTTCAAATCAGATTCATATGGCTACATAATGCCGACTGGTGCCCGATTTGCCCTGTGAATTCTTAGCTAACACTAAGAGGTATAGATCGTTTAATCGTAATGGCTAGTGTAAATGAGGTCGAAGTGTGTAATTTTGAACTTTGAAGCGATTCGTATAGACACCTGGTTGATTCTGTCAGTCATATGCTTATCACAGTTAAAATTTTATTTGATAGTACAATTATTTCTTAAATAACCATGATAATCTGGAAGAGATGTACTTATTAGATAAAAACCAATAACCTTCGGGTTTAACTTGACGATCCATGATAACTTTTCGAATCTATGACCTTGCGCTGACGGTGTATTATCCAAATTCCTTTCCTATCAACTTCTCTGGTAAGATAGAGACCTATCATGATTTTAACGGGTACGAAGAATTTGGGTTCGATTCCAGAGAGGGATCTGAAAAACTGATGACACGGAAAATAGTAACAATAGATAACAATACAAGGATCTTTTGGTTTTGTAATTAGAATGTTACAATTTAATCCTTTAATGCTGTAATGAGGAACAATTGGAGGGCAAGTCTGGTGCCGGTAATTCTAACTCTAATAGTGTATATTAAGGTGGTTGTAGTTACAGCTAATTTCAAAATTCGTGGACCACCCTAAAAATTTATCCCGAATTATTGTCGGGATGGCGAATAGTGGGTAATCACGAGTTCTAGATTATGTATTATATTGATATCGATGTAGTATGTTTTATTAAAATACGTATAATAAATACAAAAAATAAATACAATACATCAATACATAAGCAAGTTCCAAATAACGATTTTTCTAGACTGACATCGATATCAATATAATACATAATCTAGAACTCGTGATTACAATAAATTTTTAGGGTGATCCACGAATTTTGAAATTAGCTGTGAAAGCTCGTAGTTGAATTTCAGGGTTTTACCGTTGTTCGGGCTTATAGTTTGTACTGACGTGTGGAACTTCTTCCTTCTGAAGAACCATCATGCTATTAGTTAGCGTTGTGGGAAACCAAAACCATTACTTTGAAAGATTAGTGTTCAAAGAGGCTATTACTAGATGTTTTTGTTATTATAATTGATCTGTTTTTATTTTTTAATAGTTTGCTTGTATAATTTTTTTTTGCCTTTATAAATACATATAGTTGGGTTTTAATATTATAACTTATACTGTAGATATAGTAGCTAGTGTACATATTATTTCTAGACAAACTATTTAATAGGCAATATGTGGCTATATATATAGTTATATAAACTTTTATAATATAAGGCCATAGGATTTTTAATATGCAGGGTGCCAAAATAACACCCTGTGCGTTATTTCGCGAAAATACGGTAATAAAGTAGAAGTCTAACAAAAAAAAAACATTAAAATTAAAATATCTTAATAGCTACAAAGCCAAACATGATAAAAATTTTTTTGTTTTTTAATTTTTATCATAATTATTAAGATATTTTGAATTTTAAAAAAATTTTTCATATTGCTTTTATTAGCTTTTTAAATATATGGACAGTTATATTGTGTTATATAACACCTTATATAGAACTTTTTAAATAACTTCAAAATTTTACTAGGGTAACCTGTTGTGTAACTAAGAAAAAATACTCGCAATTTTACACTAAGCCTAACCCTAATTCTAACCCTAACCTAACTCTAACTCTAACTCTAACTCTAATTGCAACATATATAGTTTAAATAATAGAGTGTTATATAAATATAATATTTCTAAATATATATATATATATATATATGTTGTTTTTTTTTAATTTATGCAAATTTATAATATAATTTTTAAAAAAATTACTAAATTTATTGCAGTACGTGACAGCTTATACCGATACGTTCTGAGATTTGAGATTGGCTTATTGTAAAATTTTAAAATTTTAAAATTTTAGAGCTTTTTAGAGACGTTTTTTTTATAGTTTGGTTAGGGTTTAGGATTAGGGTTATTAATAAAGAGTATATATATATATATTTAAATAAAGACCCAGATCTTGGCATAAGCTGCCACATTTATTAAAAAATTACTAATATTATATTTTATTCTAAATTTTTATTGACTTATATAGTTTACCGACATTTACCCGACAGCCGCTTCCCCGACAACTATTTTCCCGACAAAACCATTTTCCCGACAACCATTTCCTCGACAATCGTTTCCCTGACATGACCATTTTCCAACATGACGTGATTGTTGGGGAAATGGCCATGCCAGGGAAATAATTGTCGGTAAACCTAATATATATTTATTTTTTTATTTCACGTTCTGAAAATAATTATAAACTTAGTTGATACAGTATTTTACATGAAAGTATATATATTATATATCATATAAAAAGGGAATTCTTTAATCAATGCGGTACGGTATATCGATTAATTCCATCTTGTTTAAATACCTGACACGAACGAGTCGGATCTCACGCCTGACTCTGGATCTTGAACCTGCATGGTTTCTGATAAGTGTGCATCAATTACTACGTAACCTTAGCGTTAGCATTAGTTTGGATTCAGTTTCAGGGGGTATGGTTTATTAATACGTATATATTTACATATATAACATATTCTAAGAAAAAAAAAAACAATTATATAAAATGTATGTATTATATATAAATATTTACTATAGGATTAAACACGCATAAATTATTTTTAAGGGTGAACGTAAGGAGAAAAACTATATAAACCAAAAATTTTGGTCTAAAAACAATTAATGTATTGATGATTGATGTGATGATACAAATACAGATGAATTAATTAAAAAAAAACTTATATGTATGATGTTAATGCGAATACATTGATGAATAATTAAAATTCATTAAATAAGATATGTAAAAATTGTAAATTATGCGTAGGGTTTTGTTCTATAAGAAATCACACTAGATCAGGAAAGAAAACAAAAAAAAACCAAAATTTAAACTATTTCGACATCGGTCTAGCCATCTAAGCTACAAATAATACCATGTCTACTATCATCATCTTAGCGATCCAAGTAACGATATTATAATAAGTCGCTAAAATCACTCTTAGGTTCTTAATTTTCTTAAATTGAAAATGAAAACAATGAAGCTTTAATAATTTATAGCATTGATTTCACTATTGACCGAAAATGGGACATATATTTGGGGTTTGGTCGTTATCCAACATGAAGTCCCGATTCTCAAACCCAAACTATGTAGTAGTAATGTTCATAATTCATAAAGAAAAAAAGTTTGGGTCGGCAACCCTACCTGTGGTCAATACATATTATACGTTTCACTGCACCTCACAATCTTTTGTGTCTTGGTTTGTCTTTTTGAAATACTTCCACTGTTTTTGCGAAATGGCTCGTTATTGGTTGTGTTCAAATATACACCATTTACATAATTCTGTTTATAAAATTCAGGGTCCTTTTGTTCAAAGTCAGGAGTCATGGCATTCCGACGACGGGTGTATTTGTTAATTTTCCAGATCTCGTATTGAGATTTGATTTTCTTAAAGAAAGACATTTTTTTTAAATGACGCGTCAAAACCAGGAAATGTCGTTCTCCCTACTGACTTAGGAAGAAATAATTTCTTTCTATTAGTTGTCTTGTGGATCTTTATTAAAATATGAGTACCACTTAACAAGAGAAGCTCTCAGAGCTGATGAAATTAAACACAGTTAACACAGTTAACACCAATGTAATATAAAACTACGTGGATTTGTAAACTACAGTTTTGGTTTTTATATGAAGAAAGTGTTAAACAAGGAAGGGTAGAAAAAGGAAGATTAGTAGTTATATGAGAATAGGAATCAAACGAAGGTAAAAATGTGTAAAGTTTTATATTAAACGGTGTAGAAGAACATCTTACAGGAGTTTTCAAAAAACCGAAAATTAAATTTACCGTATCACTATTACAACTATACTACAATTGTACGACATTATAATCTCACGTTACCAATAAATAACGTAACGTGAAGTTGTACTATCGTAATACTCGTTTGTTTGCCTGATTATTGTTTCTAAACGACTCGACTTGTATAACTAAATCACGTTGTTAATCTGTTAATCTGCTAATCTTTATAACCTTGAAAAAGGTTGTTTTTTTATTTTATTTACTGTTTGAGTTAAATACTTTTTGAGTTAATTACTGTTTGAGTTAATTCAGAGGACATATAATATCCTATACAGTGACAACACTATACAGATGCCCAGGGATGATTTTCTGCGATGATATTTACTTATTTAAAATAAATAATATCACCACAGGAAATCATCGTCCCTGAAGATTTTCCTGGGGGACTTAATTGGGTATGTCCGTCCTATTTTTAGATTAATTTACCCAATACGTCTAGTTAACCATTTGGACAAAACTGACTTAGTCAAATTAAGCCGATTGTTTTTTTAAAAAAAAAAGAAAGACAGTCAATTAAAACTGTATAAAGAATAGTCTGGAAAGACAATCAAACCAAATTTACGAATAATAAGCAGGTCATGAAAGTAGAAATTGAGTGAGGACGCTAATATTAAAGGATGTAGAATAATGCCAGAATTAGTGATCTGAATTGACAAATGAGTTACATGTTTACAATTCAGATATAAATGACCAGTGTTGTCACTGGAAGCCACTGGAAGTAAAATTAATAGTGTCACTGTAACGTTTACCCCACTGGAAGGCCAAAAATTTCTTACTGAAAGAAAATTAACAACACTGACAAACGGAATTAATCCATTTGACTCTGAATATCGATATACTGTAAATATATCTGAATTAATCCAGTTGTATATCATTTTGTTATTCTCCGTTTCACTAGCTGTTTTTCATGAGTAATTTTAAACTCAGTAGGGACAGGTCCATTGTAAAACAAGAGATAACGCATTTATTTTCTATGGGTGAATGGATGCATCTATAGTATATCAGATATATTCACAACGTTAATTAATTGGTCTTATACTCACCAATGGGATAGGCATAGTGCAATAGTAATAATTTATTAAATACAGCGTATTGATTAAAAATAAAATAATAAAGATTAATATTGACTAATTAATACGAATAGAGCAACTAATTAACAAGAATAATATAAAATGCTAGTGATACGGGCCAATAAAAAAATCACAAGTTGAGGTATTTATATCAAACGTGTAAAAGTCATCAGGTAGTTCCTTACCAAATTCTAGTGATTTATATTCAGTTTTTTATTCTTTGGAGAATTTTAGCTCTTCAGAATTTTATTTTGATTCTATATTTTATATTCGTTATTTGCCAACTTATTATATGAATTAGCCAACTAATGAATATTTACATTTTTATAAACGACTTGCTGGCCAGAGCCAGACCGTATCACTGTTAAATGGAACCAGTTCTTATTTAAATTATCTTTTTCTAATTATATAAGTTACATGTGCATACGTAAAACTTTTGTCCGAATTAGCCCGATCGGAAAATCTCAGAGGATGATTTAGGTGAATTTGGAAATATAATATTTCCGAATATGTATGACTTTAAAATTAGCTTAACGTTAACATTAAATGTTTATATAATTTATGTATCTAGTATATAGATTACATTGTGCGACATGTCAATTTTTATTAAAAAAAAACTGGTAAGTTCTGGAATTTCAAATGATTTACGTCATGCGTGTGGACAACCAGTTACTAGAGAGTCAGAAAGTGATACCCGGGCGAGTCAGATATTGACCAAATCATATGGCAAATCAAAGGTCTTAACGTTAACACTTACATAAAGTTTGATGTAGTGACACTTATTTAGAGCTACTACTTAGGTCAATAATTATGTAGGTTAGTCTCGAGAGTTTATAGAATTTTATAATTTTATTCTGTGTCCGTTATATAATTAATATATAACAATTACTTGAACTGGAGCTTTTCAGATTTTGCATCGAATAATTTCTCAACTTTGCTCGTAATTGAGTTCATCCATTTTCTACGTCAGAAGCAGTGTTGGCATTGGACATATGCCCATCTAATTTTAACACCATTGGACTGTACTGGACATAGTCCAGGTCCAATATGTCCAATTATTTGCTAAAATTTTTAAAATAAAAATTATTTATTATATAAGCTACAACAATATAATAAAAGAATATAAATTAATTCTAAATTAGCATAAGTTGCAATAGAATTCTACATAAACTTGAGCAATACCGTATAAATGCGAAATAATGCACAGGGATGTTATTTTGAAGTTTGGCTCGTATTAAGCTTAATTTAGGCCAAAAATTGAAATTACACCCCTGCACATTATTTTGCAGTTATACGGTAAAAGAATTCTATTTAATATATAACTTTAAAATTAACAATTATTAATAAGTTATAACCGAAGCTATAATAGTGCTTCGGTTCTATTTTTGACCGATTATCTGGATTTATCAAATCCGGATTGAATTTGCATTAGATAATATTTAAAGCTAGCTTTTAGATCCATTATTCAAGCTCTTTGACCAATTCGATTAAAAATCTCTGATCAGAAGATCTAAATTTATTTGGATTAAGGAACCAATTCAGAATTGAAGCTTTATTATATATGTTGTAATTTTACTAGTTATATTATTAAAAACTAACAGAATCTATTTGCATATACTTATTTATTTATTTTTCTTTTTTTAAAAAAAAAACTAAGCAATGTATTTCACCTTAAAAACTACTATAAAATTTTTCTATTTATTGTCAAAGAAAACTAACTATTTGCAAAAAATAGTGCTTCCAAATCAGATAAAAATAAACTATTTAATAGCTATTTAGCCTTCTAATCTTTTACTATATATTTTTTATTAACTATTGATTTTTATTAATATTAATTGATTCTGAACTTGATAAATTACTTTCATCAAAATCATCAAATTCTGTATAATTATTTTTATCATTAGCATTATTTTTAGAATACAATTGTCTCTCATATAGTCATCTCTCATATAATCACATCATATGTAATCACATTTTTACTTAGGCCAAACCATAATTTAATTTATAAGAAAAAAACCTCCATATAAGCACAACCCCTCTATAAGCACATTTTAAAAAAAAGTTACTATGTGCCCAACTGTGTGATTGTATAGAAGGATAACTGTAGTTTAATAAAAAGATTATTAAAATAGATTTATAAAACTTTTTTGAGTTTATTCAATTTTTAAATCTGGCAATTTTGATTAAAAATTCCATATAATTAACTAATTGCTAATATCTTATAAAAATAAAATAATATAAACAAAATAAATAAAGAATAAATCTAATTATAACTAGTAGTAATCATTACCAAGATATTTATATCTCAAAAACATACTAAGTAAACAGAATTAGGTACTTTAATAGGTGATTCTCCAGTCACCTGTAGTGAAAAAAATTGGATATGCACATGTGTGTTCTTGCACATAAAAAATCTTTGCACATATTAAAAAAATTTTAATATATGGTAAGTGCATATGATTTTTAATATAATATTAATAAGAATGTGCGCTGTCTAATACCTTTAATTTTAATAATAAATTATCATTGTAATAAAACTATTATTATTAAAATTTTAATTGTGTATCAGTATTTAATTAAATAAAATATTATTTATATTATATAATAAATTGTGATTATTAAAAATATTTTCAGAAACTGTGTATATATTTTACCTAAATTGGAAACTCCCTGATTTAGAATCTGCTACTTATTTATCTAGTTTTAAAATTCTCAAACGGAGTACTCAACTTAAGAACTACAACTACACTAATAGTAATATATAATATATATTACTAATTCTCAAGCTAGGTAATCTGTTTAAGAATTTTATAATCAAATAGTTTAAATCATAATAACTGGATTTTGATTTATAGTAGCAAAATAGGCATAAATTATATCAAATATACCACATTACCTAATAGAGTTAATTATATACCCATCAAGAAAATCTCTATCTAAATATTTTTAAATTACCCAGTTATTTGGGTAATTTATTATAGCTATATAATAAAAATGTCTACCTGAATACAATCTCTATTAATATAATAATTATTGTTAATCTATATAATATTGACTAAAAAAAAAACTTTTGAAAAATCATACTATAACCTCTTGCCAAGCTCTTACTTGAATCAAAAAAGTATATTATTATGTTTCAAAGTAGCAGGGTTAAAATAATAGATAAGTAATTTTGTATAAACTTTTAAAAAAATAAAATCAATTAATGTGACAATAATAAGTTAGAAATAATAATAGTAAAACTTATATATAGTAGAAAACTATTAGATAATAATAAAAAAAATAAAACTTATATGTAAAACAAGAGAAAAATTAAAATAGCATTAATAGTAAAATGAAACAAAAAAGATAGAATAGATTAGTTAGTCTTGTGTATATAATAAATAAAATTTTTTTGTAAAAAGATTAAAAAAGTAAATATGATATTTATATCTTTTGTATATTTAAATTGTTAAGTAAAGTTTAAAGCTTTCCAATATTAATAAAACTATTATTAATAAAATTCTTTATAATTATTCAAATTAGTTCTATGCTTTAAA